CTAGCTCAGAAAACAGTTGTCAAAGGCATGTGTCATGCTACGTCGAATCACTGGATGTGGAAGTACCACCATCTGGTAATGAGACCGGTTAGATAGTATACATGTCAATGGTGCTGTCGGCCCACCTGTACGTCAGTGAAAAACAGTACATTTAAGAACCAAGACGAGTTCAGCAACACTACTTGCAGTGAATTTCATGCGTCAGTTCATGAGATGGAGTGCCTGACACAGAAGCGATCCTCAGGAAACGCATGAACGGAATGGACCGTGTGATGATGATGCGACTCCCTACATGGCTCGGTCATGTCCACGAATGAACGGAAACGCATGACGAAAGAGGAATGGAGGCAACTAGAAACCGCGTAATGACTATTGTTGAGTTCAGATGCTGGAACGAGATGGCAGTGGACTTTGGTGTGCCCGTTTGGAAACAGCCGTCTCACCAATGAAGGAGAAAATGTTAACTTATCGTAAACAGAGATGTCCTGTACGCTAACAGAAAATAGGAAGAGCACAAGGTCGGCAGCGCCATCCACATGGTTCACGACTATGCATGGTCACATGCCCATATTTCGATCGGTCATTACAAGTCATCAAGGCAAGTAGACGCCGCCTGCAAGATGTGCTAACACATACTCCCACAGCGGTTGAGGCGGCACGTGTGGCGTATCATGTCGCGGTTGGGTTATACTTGTACCGGCGAAAGTATGGTACACATGGCTGACACATCTCAGCATGATATACCAAGTCAGCTTGAGTGAGCGACGAACGATGGTCAGGCGCCTACCAGTCCCATGTCGCCATTTCGATTATCGCGCCTAGCAGCCTGCTATTCGCTGTCATGGGGGACAGGATGCACGATTTTCCTGACAGTGCCTAATTTAGAGGATTGATTTCATTGCAGGAATCGTCTGGAATGCACGTTTCTTCAAAATGCGCATCGCTCATATATACCTCTAAAGCGTACCAAACATTGAACCAATCGAAGCTCCAATCCACATAACCCATTAGTATTGTCCCTTTTCGTTTACGTAGGATATGGAATGTGGAGGGGGGTAGCGCAGCGCGACTGCATGTTAGTGATAGATAAATCTGTTAACGGATGTCGCTACACATGTACAGCGTGCAGTGAATAGTACTTTTGTGTATTTTATTATAGACGGGGTGAACCGTTTTTGACCAGTGGACGCAAACACGTGAACATGGTATTCATTGTCAATCGTAAGTCCAACTAAGTGCGGATGGTGCACTTTAACCAGACAATCAATTGCGCCCGGTAGCCTGATTGTAATCGCCCACTCACCAGGTGGGGACGGGAATCACGTGCTCCCATCTGTGGACGGTCAGTTTGGTAGTTGATATTGGCTCTGATACAGACAAACGATTCACACAAATAAAGTGACCATGTCATCAATGTTAACGACTGGTCTATTGCTGGGAGAGTTAATACACCTAGCAACTTGTCCACACAATCCTCCGAGCAGAGTAACAATGTGGTCTGTAGACCAATGACGGCTGAAATGAACTGAGATTCATCGAACAAGTTGGACAGAGTACGAAATCAGACAAGTAATGCACACTAACTCTCGATAAACCTCTATATTGCACGAAACGAATCGTGAAACGTATGATAGCTAATCAAGGACGTGGTGAAGAGGTTAACTAAAAGAAGAGCTCTTCGGAAACGCGTTTGTCATAGTATAACAGATGGATGCGTGTCCAACAATGCGTCGCTAAGGTTCCAAGTTAAGCTCAGTGCCCTCCGAAGAACTACGGGTCGAGAACCCGGATGCGGATATACATGCCGGTCAAACGAGCGCATCGTGGTGGGAGCAAACTATTGGTATCGATTCGTGAGCACTAATCTTCTCAGTTAGTCCCGGTCATCGAAGCAGTGAGCACAGAAGCAAAACCGAGCTGACATCAATTCCGCTTCTTCAAACCGCGCGTACAGTGTGCGGACATTTAGATCAAGGCAACAAAATTGAAAGATGTCACAAAGGAGTTCCAGTTACGTAGTTTGTATAATACATAGGCTCTGGAATGCGTCATAGATTTAGCGATGCCACAAATCCATTCGCACGAAGGAGTGCACTGAGAATTCTCATCATCAAAGAATAGCGTCAATTTGCGTATCCAAAAAGTGTACTATCTTACAGTAATCATTAGACGCCATTTCAACAAAAACTTGGTCGACTAGAGTTGTCCTATCTCTCCCGTTCTATGCGATGATATGGCAAACTGCAGCACAGGTTGTACTTTAGTGGAAGTTATCTATAACTAGATGCTGAGTTACTGTTACTAGTATAAATGTCACAATCTACGGCAGCCAGAGAAGCGTATAACATCGATGATGCCAATTCGCGTGACAATATGTGTGGAACTGCTCACAACTAAGTGGATTTTGATGGCGATCTGCATCGTAGACGTTGCGCGCTTCACTGACTGTCGTAGATTGCGACAATCTGTGCACAAAATTTACATGTAATCATGTTGAATGCAACGCAGAAGACGATAAGAATCGACAGTTGATCTAACACTCGAAATATGTAAACTGACACAGCGATCAAAGCATATAAGGGTACTTCATGTGTTTATAACAATTTTCGAACAGCAATTACGACGCGATTTCTTTGGCATTTGGGAATAATGTAATAACATTGACCTATAATGGTGATTACTGATTAGAAGCAGCAAGCAGAGTTTGCTCTGTGTAGCTGCATCTAATGTCACTCAGGGACAAAGACCCGTTATGTTGGGGTGCGATCGGTATATTTTATATCGGCCGTTTTTCCAGGAACTACTTTGATTCCAACACCGACTTTGCCTCAACTACGTGCTGCGGCACGTCATTCCATACATTCACCACTCTGCGTTCGAAACAGAGTTGGTGAGCAACGCGCTTCAAATCCGGTACGACAAGCTTGTACCGGTGTCCTCGTGTGCTACTTGGTGTACGCAGATGAAGCAGCAGTCTCAACATGGGGTAATTTGGGAAACGGAACCCCGAAATCTGCGGAAGGATACCACAAAAGTATGATCTAGAAATGGCCGATTCAGAAACGAGTGTAATATCCACGAAATAGTTCTAATATGCCGATATACTCACAAATGTGTAACCTGATAACGCAGCTACGGAACAGGCGACTAGACGACGCTAATCGCAGTTGAGCATCCACTATTGACAGTGCGGTTTGGAGCGTTCGATGTTGAATGCTGGCGTAGAACAATTAGAATTCATATTGGGTTTTCTCTTCAACTGACTGCTTACTTCCCATTAGTAGGGGTGATATTTAGCGGTTCTATGGCAGCAAAACACTAGTATGGGTTATTGACCAGTATCCGAGAAATCGCGTAAAAGCAAAGCGTCAGCAAGTACCGGTGTAGTGTTGATGCCTTCTTTTTTAACAACGAGACCAAGAATGTTGGTGTGGAACATATACAGAAGCGCCAAACTCGAAGGCAGATTTTTGTGGATAAGGTGATGGACGTTGCTGCACCCCACTGACCGATATGCAAAACTGGGTTTAATCCAGTGTAAACAGTATGTCACGAGATGCATTCATTCTCTCCGCATGTCCAGTTTCACATGATCTGCCAGACTTGTCTGGAGGCGGCATCTGTACCCAATGCTCGAGTAACCAACGCAGAAGCGAAGGGAACCAGAAGAGAAGCGGAGAACGCGAACACAAGCATACGTAGACGAGTGTGCGTACCGAATCGGTGGTGTATGGATGAGACTAGTGTCCACGTTCAATCGGAAGAAAATGCAGGACAGAAACAATAAGCGCTGAGCGGTGCTCATTGTTGTACAACAAGCGGGTGCTAAATAAAAGCATTGAGTTCGAGAATACATGAAATACGCAGAGGCGCCGTGGAGTTGCGTTCAGTACTGAACTGCTTCACGTTGATAAGCTCTGTGAGTGATGGATCGTAAGGCATCATCTCCGACCAAAAACGTGAGAAGATGGTGCATAATGGAGAACACTCAGATGAACGAGAAATCCTTCAGTAAAAAACAACGTGGCTGAGGCATTCCAAATGGAGAGCGACGCGATCGGGGTTACGTGCTGGGTGTCAGGCTCTACAGATGAGTCGCGGTAATGTGATCATCCATTTGGTGCACTGATGCAGAAGCAACTTAGTGCAGCAGTTCAGAGTCCTAGGAAAGGAAGAATCTGAACCTATTGGTAATTAAGTATCGAGATTATCGAAGCGAACATATAGAAGGCCACAATACATTGAACACACAAGCCTCGGACCGCGTGTCGGATGGAAAATGTTGCCCAACTAACGAAAACTGCTGCAATTAGGCTAGTTCGAAGTCGACGAAGAGACCACGCGAACAGTGGAAAAACGTACGACGAAAAAAGTAAATATGAATTTGTCACCATCTCTGTCATCGATTTAATTGAAAACGAACTAAGTGTATAGGGAAGAAAAGAGATTAATAGGTGGCAGACAAGACAGGGAATACAGCTGGGACGATTGCTCCTTTGATGTGCAAGCACGATGCATCTGAGGTACGCGCACATGGATCACGGTGGTTCGATCGCAACAGCATCCGCTCACGCTACTCGGTTCTCTCAGGAGACTGGTGGAAAAATACGCTGTGGAGTCTTGAGCGCAAAAATGACACACTGGAAGTAGCTATCTTTGACATAGAAAAGAGGTAAATAATTTCCCGATGTGAACAGGGCTCATGCAAGCTGGACACTTGGTTTCAGAGGGCCCCAGGGATATGCACAGTGTGACAATCGAAGAGAGGAAGATGCAATGAAAAATACGAAGTCGGCTAAATGCCTGCCCTGAGAAGTATTTGGATAGGTACTGGTCCGATGTCTGTGGGGAAAACACGAGCTAAATATAGTGACTGGTGAAAAAGGCGAAAATTAAAGAGTGCTGTGCAGATTTGGATAGGTAGAGAGAAAAATGCAGTCATGCGAGCGACAGCAGAGAGAGGCGGCAACACACTTCGACTTTCCTAATTGGAAGTCACTTTAGCCAGTCGATCTGGGGCCAGAGAGTGGTTCGCTTGGTTTGCGTGACTGGCGTGACAATCGGACAATACTGGTGCCGTTGTCCGACTCACGTGACGATGAAGATCGGAGCAGATAGAGCAGGAGGAAGTAGAAAAAGAATCCGCTGCCCTTTATGATTAGGCCAAGACCTGATGAGGTAACAGAGAAATGCGAATCAATTGGTTAGTACGAAGCGGACTCACATGGGAAACGAAAGAATAAAATGTTCGGTGTAGGCGAGACAAACTCTAACGGTCACAGTAATGTTTGCTACGCTGCAACAGTCGGAAAATCCGGATTGCGTAACCAACGAGGTAACTAATGTAGTGGTTGAATAAGTCACATGTATGAAATTGCCTCATGACCTTGGGATAGGTGAGTAGGCTGATTCGGCGAATGATAAAGAGAAGACCGTGGCGCTTGTTATGTCAAATCAAGTTTATATATCCGTCCTGTTTAGCGGACCGTAAATTGCAGTTCGGGCGTCCACGCAACGTGTGGTGGAGCGAGTACTCGAACGAACCAAATTGTCAGGAGGGAGACGTTCCTTTAAAAATTTTATGCAGCCATTTCCCTTCAGAAATTTCAAGAGAGCAAAAACGAATAGCATTTGCGCGATAAACTGAATTCAGATTATTTCGTGTCTTCTTATTCAGCCGCTTACAGACGAATCCTGGAAAGAGTAAAGGAATGCAATTGAAAAAGAGGGTCAATAGGAACATCAATAAAACACTGAGCAAACCGAGGTCATTGCCTGCGTCTTACCAAAGCAAGGCAAGACTGGCCACAAGGTCTACCTGTTTGCAAAGGTTCGGTTTCATTCGTCGGATGGCCGAGGCTTCAGCGAAACGAAGCAAGCTCACGTTGTTTTGTCTGCTGATAACCTTGAATACGTCGCGTGGGTTTTCGCACAAGGTACAATCGAGCAGATGCTGAGTGATGGAGCTGGCAAGGAGTTTAGGTCCACTATTTGCCAGGTTCCGTGGAACATGTTCCATGATCCTAGTTGATAGCCTTCTCTCGGTTCGGCCAATGTACATGCTACCGCAAGTACAAGTGAATTGGTAGAAACATGAAGAGTCAATCGAGGCTGAATTACGATACATCGAATCTAACCTACACAATAATGGCTATCCTAATAAATTCCTCGCCAGGTATGGGAATGGGTTTGCTAAGAAAAAAACACGAATGGATGTCCCAAAGAAAAAGGTCTTCATCACGCTACCATACAAAGGGGAACAGAACGACAGAAGATTGTGCTACCGATTTCGCCAAGCCATAAAAAGGTGCTACTACGCAGCTGAGCTCCTGTTGTTACATCAAACCAAGAAGCTGCTCCATGAATCCAACTTGGATAGGCCTCACTCTCAGGTTACCGCCTCATGTGTTTACCAATTCACCTGTACTTGCGGTAGCATGTACATTGGCCGAACCGAGAGAAGGCTATCAACTAGGATCATGGAACATGTTCCACGGAACCTGGCAAATAGTGGACCTAAACTCCTTGCCAGCTCCATCGCTCAGCATCTGCTCGATTGTACCTTGTGCGAAAACCCACGCGACGTATTCAAGGTTATCAGCAGACAAAACACCGTGAGCTTGCTTCGTTTCGCTGAAGCCTCGGCCATCCGACGAATGAAACCGAACCTTTGCAAACAGGTAGACCTTGTGGCCAGTCTTGCCTTGCTCTGGTAAGACGCAGGCAATGACCTCGGTTTGCTCAGTGTTTTATTGATTTTCCTATTGACCCTCTTTTTCAACTGCATTCCTTTACTCTTTCCAGGATTCGTCTGTAAGCGGCTGAATAAGAAGACACGAAATAATCTGAATTCAGGTTATCGCGCAAATGCTATTCGTTTTTGCTCTCTTGCACCAAATTGTCGCAAAAACGATGCAAGTCCCGATGTCTGAATCACATGACCATGCGCTTTAAATATTCATGTGGAATAAAGTATGTTACAATCGATTCGTGGCGTCCATCCTCATGGGAGGTGGCATCTGGTGCCACAAAGTGCAATAATGCAGTCAAAGTTAAAAAGAACGAACATTGGTGGATATGGAAAAGAATATACGCCATTCGTATTCTGCCTCTGGATGGTGCCACGACGCATGAGAGGATTCCCCATCGAATGGCTCAATGTAGTCATTCTGATGGTTGCAGTGGTGTAAAATGCCAGCTTGCTGATAGGTAAGCACGGGTTCTTACGTGCCAATCAGTACGCCGCCTCGCCAGACGTACCACTGAACCAACACCGTGCCCTGTGTGACTGGTATGACGGAGTGTGAGTGCGGTTCTCCCGAAACGCCTACACTGAGCTTACCTTGAAGGAGCACCACCGGAGCTGGTGATAAAGGTTATCGATACGTCGAACGTTGCAAAGACCCAAAGTAGTATGGCGATCCGCATACTCAAATATTTCGGCTCGTTCAGGTCCCCATAAGTTGCATCCGATTGGAAGATGGATACGAGCTATACATGCTATGGCTCATGAACGCTATGTGTCCAAATGGCACGATACACAGAATTGAGGTGATATAAAAATCTCTTAAGTCGGAAGTCGTGTTAGTTGAGATAACAAGTATGTGGATACTCCAACAGTGCATGCGCCACAGAAATCCGTGAATGAAAAGAGGTAAGTTAGGCTTACCATGGACTGTACATTCACACTCAATTAGAACGTACAACAAGATAACAAACAACAACAACAATACATCAGTCAGTTGAACTGATGCTTTGTTGCCATACAAGTATGATGAGCTATGGAAAAAATAATAATAAGAGGGAGAGAAGAGGGACTTACCTGAGAACGTTAATGTTCTAAGCAAACATGCAGGGTCAAGGCGCTTACACCTTGTATAGACAACATACCGTCACAAACACCTGGCTATCGTGCAAAGATAAGGCGGCATCGGCGAGACAACTTCTTTGCGGCTTTCACTGCCACGCGTCATAATCAGCCATTACCCCGCAGATAATTCAGCACCAAACACACTTGTAACAGGCAATCCGACTAGGAGACGACAGCAGACACGCCACTGGTGTCCGCTGGGAGCCATGTCATGTAAACTCTCGAGCCAAGCATAAGTTGGGTCACGTGGACTCCAGCCTGGAAGGCGAGACGGACCAATGGCACCCAGTCTGATCGTCAGTGACTTCATTTCCCGTTGCCAAGTCAACTTATGTCCACCGCGAGTCTTGCGCCACTCTACACCTGGCAGACTAAACAAGGCGCTCCTAGGTAAGCGGTGACTAGGCGTACGAACCCCATGCCTGAGCCAACGCAACATATTCAGCGTGATCTGTTGTTCTAATGAGCTAGCATGATTATCACTTCTTGTACTCGTCTACGCACATCATTGTTGTGGACATGCTGGTGAAAAGCGACAGCAGCAATGCTTCACAGACAACAGCCATCAAAGACTTGAAGGCGATTCAGATCTTCTGACCGAAGGGGCCAAGTCTCACCCCCATAAAGTAGGACGGCCCTCACTGTGGCCTTGTAGACACGGCCTTCCAAACGGACGGGAATTCCCTTCTGGCGCCAAAGATGCCGCAGGCTCAAGAAAGCAGTTCTGGCTTTTGTAATGAGTGAACTGACTTTAGTTTCAATGCGCTCATCGTTGCTGATACAGCTTCCAAGATAGGTGAATAGATCAAGCACCTGGAGTTCCTCAATGTCAAAAGTCAAGACGTCATCAAATGGCTGGAGGTCCTGCTGTAACGCTGCACTTGGAAGGTGCGAAGCGTATACCAAATAATGGGACCATTGTAGACAGATTATTCAGGGTTGATTGTGCCGCCGCAACATCGTTAAAAAAGACGATATTGTCCGTATAATCCATGCAGCACCTCAACGCCTACATCTTGAGATTCCGTAAAAGAACACTGCATGATCGAGTCCACGACGAAATTGAACAACCCTGACGAACGACGCTTGTTGTCAGAAAACTTTTCGACAGGTCACGGTAGACCCTGACGCGGCCTGTAGTGTTCGAGTATAGAACACGTAAGATGTTCACATATTTCGTGAGAACACCTTTTCGCGTAAGTATTTGGAACAGAATGAATTGATCGACTGAATTGAACGTACTCTTGACGTCGAGGAATACAGCTATCCTCGGTCTGCGGTATGCGTGGCGCTACTCTATCACACACACCCACACGTCAGCTAGAGGTAGGAAACACCCTAGTTACTGTGCAGCAATACAAAAAGAAAGAAAGGGAATAAAATGCTACCGGTAACGGATGGTATATATATATATATATAATACACAATCTGCGGTACAGATAATGTGCCATCGGAATAGTGGCTGAATAGAAAAACAATATGAATAATAAGAAAAGAGCAACAACAAATGCTTTTTCCGTCTATTTTACCACTCGCAGTTTTTGAAATTCTTTTTCAGTTTGTTCTTTTTTAGGGGGAGGAAGAAGGGACAACGCAACAAACCGATGCCCACGTCCGCCATTGACATCGATCTTGAGCAATGTCTTCCAAGGTCTTCAACCAGCAAGTATCCGCATCTCTAGGACCCCAACCAGGTAGTCGACAACAACCGGCCGAAGCCAACTGTTTCGTCAGCTTTCTCATGCGGCTTCCCCATGTGGTAGGCTGTCCACCAGACCGTCTCTTCCAACCCTGTCCAGCAAATGCAAACAATGCACGACGGGGGTAACGCTGGACAGGCATGCGCAATACGTGTCCCAACCACCGTAGTTGATGCAGTGAGACGAGCTCTTCGAGCGAGTGGCTTCCACGTCTCAAGACATGCTGTCTAACTTCCACATTGTTTACGTGGTGTTGCCACCACACACGGGCAATGGACCGTAGATAGCGGTGCTCGAAGACAGATAGCCTGCGCAAGTCATCTTTACGAATGGGCCAAGTCTCGCATCCGTACAAGAGTACAGCATGAACAGTTGCACAATAGACCCGCCCTCTGATGGTGAGACGAATGTCGTGGCGACGCCACAAATGCCTCAAACTGGAAAAAGCGAGGCCTGCTCTCGAGATGCGCATCGAAATCTCGTCTCCAACAGCCCCGCCAGCAGTGATGTAACATCCCAAGTAGAGAAAGCTCTCCACAACCTCTAGTGTCTCACCAGCAAGCGTGAGGGCAGGCAGAGGCACCTACCAGTCCTAAAAGATAGCCTTGAATTTGGATGGCAAAAAGTACATACCGTACTTTGATGCTTCAATCGCCAAGCGGTTTAATGCAAGCTGGACGACGTGTGGGTCGTCACCCAGCAAGACGATATCATCAGCATAATCCAAATCAACAACTCGACTATCTGGGAGGAGCTCAACGCCAGCGTTCAACGAATCGCCCAGAGCCTTCTTCAATATCCTCAACGGCAAAGTTGAATAGGAACGGAGAGATAGGGCATCCTTGTTGAACTCCACTGGAGACCACAAAGGGAGGCGAAAGCTTGCCATAAGCCCTAACCCTGCCCGAGGTCAGACTATAGAGGGCGCGCAGTATGGAGACGAACTCCTCGGGGACACCATTCCTCAGTAGGCAGTGCCACAGTACCGTACGATCGACAGAATCAAAGGCTGCACGGATATCCAGGAACACAGCAATCGTTGGCTTCTGATACACGAAGCTCGAGGATCTGGCGAAGTGTGAAGATTTGATCGATGCAGCCGCGACCAGGACGAAACCCAGCTTGTTCTTCTCGTTGCAACGATTCGCGTGTTGGGGATAGCCTGCGAAGTATGATGGACACCAGCAGCTTGCAAACGACGGGGACTAAGCTTATTCCTCTGTATTTGGAGCAGATTGTGCGCAGGCCCTTTTTGAAGATGGAGACGACTATCGATTCACCCCAAGATGACGGAACTTTCTCTTTCGACCAAATTTTCGAGAACAAAGCGGTGAGTTCTCGGACCAGCGATGCGCCACCATCTTTAAATAGAGCCGGAGGAAGACCATCAGGGCCGGGGGCTTTATAACGCTTCATGTGCCGGAGCTCCTGCTCGATTTCCTGGGAAGAGGGAGGATCTGTGGGAGTAGACCACTCGGCCCCAGTGCGAGCGCCAGAGGTAGCAGATGGAGCTGCGGGCCAACAAAACTGCGAGCCAAAATGTTCGGCCCATCGCTCCAAACGTCGTTGAAGATTGGATGATTAAGGTGCCATCCTCTTCGCATATTGTTTCACTTATACCAGATCGAACACCTTCGGTGACTCGAATGAGATGGAAGAGTTTTCTGGTATTACCAGAGAGACTAGCAAGCTCCATCTCCCTAGCAGGTTCCCCCCAACAAGCTTCGCGGTCGATTTACAGACTCCTGCGCAACTCTCGACCAAGGGATTGGCGTTCGTCACTGTGTCTGGAATCCGATGGGATCGAACGGCGTTTGTCCATCAGCGACAAGGAGACGGCGGAAATCCAGTGCTTCGTTGGGTGACGGGTAACTCCACAAGTGTCGATACTGGCAGAAACTAAGGCTTCTTTGATATGCGCCCACTGCGAATCGAGGTCACCGTCAATAGTTGAGCCAAGCAAGGTTGACAACGAGGCATGGTACCTGGTTAAAATCGCAGCGTTTTGTAGATTCGCGACGTCCGGTCGGTAGAGAGTGCGCTGAGGTGATCCTCCGAAACGCATGCAAATTTTAGCACGAACCAATACGTGATCGGAGTCTAGGTAAGTTGACTAGTAGGATCGGCAGTCCGTTACGCTTCCGCGCCATCTGTAGCTGATTGCTATGTGGTCAAGCTGGGAGCACTCTTGCGTTTGTGAGGGCGGGCGCCAACTAGCAGTGTGTCTCCTCGAGTGCCGAAAACTAGTGCTCGAAAGAAACAAGCGATGACCAGAGCAAAGAGCAAGCAGTCTGTCTCCATTGTTTGATCGACTGCCACCGAGACCAAAGCTACCCCAAGGTGGTGCTCGCTTGGTGGAAGGCGGACAACCCGTGCGTTAGAGTCCCCGGCAAGAATGACTAAACGGATGGGCATCGTTCCGGTTAGCTATCTGCCGGCTACTATGCAGCAGGAAAAAAGTATAATTTCCGATGTAAAATTATAGAATGCTAAATAATGACATCGTGGTTGGATGAGGAGGGTAAAAGGGAGGGGGTGGGACAAAGAAACTCACAACAGGAACGCCATTGAGATCGGCTCCTAGCCATATCAACAAGTGCATCCAGCCAAACGTGTTCATCGTCTTCGGACCCCAAACAGGGAGCCGAGACGCCCCAACCGAGGCCAGCTTCGAAGTGAGGGCCTTCATTCCTCTCGACCAAATCATCGCTTGTCCATCTCTCCTTTACTGCCATCCCCACCCCCGGCGCGCAAACAACGCACGTCGCGGGAGTCGGTGGGCTGGCATGCGTAACACGTGGCTCAGCCATTGGAGCCTGGTGCGTGAAATAACGGTGCTGAGCGGTTCAGTTCCTTTTTCTGTGCCGTAAACAAGGCGTCGAACACGTCCGTTGCTAAATCGGTGTTCCCACCAGATGTGAGCTAAATTGAGAAGGCACCGGTGGTAGAGCGTAACTAGTCTCTTTATGTCCGTTGATCTAAGGGGCCAGGTTTCACAATCGTACAGTAGGGTCGAACATACCGTTGCTTTGTACACTCTACCCTTCAGGACGAGAGTGATGTCGCGCAACGCCATAAGTGGCGAAGGTTAGCAAAAGTGCCTCGAACTTTTGCTATATGGTTCGTGATGCCATCTTCAAGCCCACGGGCGTTGATACAACTTCCCAGGTAGTTGCTCTAGCACTTGCCGCAGAGTGAATATATGGTCAATACAGCCACGTACTGGTTGGAGACCTGCCTGCTCTTCCTTAATCCGAGATTCCCGTTCCACAGTGAGGTGACAAACGAGAATCTAGGCCAGTAGTTTTGTCACAACTGCGGTTAGGCTAATACTCCTATGAATAGCACAGTCGGTGCGACTACGCTTCTTGTATATTGCCACCATAATCTATTCGCCCCAGTTAGCCGAGCCATTCTCTTCTTTCCAGATATGTTCGAACAGGGAGTTCAGTGCTTTGCAGAGGACCTCACGTCCATCCTTCAATAGTGCAGGTTGGAGGTAATCCGGGCCAGCAGCACGAAAACGATTGAGGGCTATGACTGCGTTTCGGACGTCCGGCTGAAGCATAGCCAAGCAAGTTGTCAACTAGATTTGTGTTACATTCAAGTGGATGGTCTTAGTTTAAGTGACGTCAGTACAGATAAGTAGGTGAGTAGGTAGGGCAAAAAAGAACAAATAAGTGAGACAGGGGTTCGGCCACATCAGACGTAAAACTCAGAATCGTGGATAAGGGGCTAAAACTGCACAACGTGTGGTACACCAGCTTTCAAAATCAAAACGGTTACCGATCAAATAACAAGCTGTGAATAAATGGTGGGAATAATCTACCATATATATATATATATATATATATATATATATATATATATATGCGTATAATCACTAAATCGCAAACAATGTAATTAGGATAGAGTACAGCATCGGTTATTTGTCTCAGACAGAATATTTGGCCGGTGTACACCGAGATCACAAATACACAGCGGATGAAATTCGGCACTCTGTATGTAATAGGGCCACCGATGGCACCCCTCAAGTACCCGGCGGTTTGTAGGTATGAGGAGTCAGCTTCGGAATCCACGGTACCCGATTCGATTCGGGGTAGGTGTGAACCACCTTGCAGTATGCCTAGTCCGTGTAAACAACCGGTGGTAGTCACATGGCAGTGAAAAGTCAGCACTGTGTACTGTATGTGCTTTTATCAAGTAACCCCCCCCCCCGATGGTTGTGCGAAACTAACCATGGCCATTCCGCAGACATGGTTCAATACCACGAAATATGAAAGACAACTGGATAAAATCCACTCACCGGTCATGTAGTGGTTCAGTTTGCGAACGTCCACATAAGCACAATCCCCCGTTCGATCGCAGTCAACACGCCAAAGACGACAGGCTGCGTCAATGACTCTACCGAAGACCATTGGCGAAGGCAAGTTGGCCAGCAGACGGAGAATAACGAACTGCACCCCCAGGGCAAAAGACCGTTCCTGGCGATCGACGGAGCGCATAGTAACCATGAGTAGAGGATTCTGGATTACTCCGGTGAGAAACAAGCATGTGGTTAGGACGATGATAAAATAAAGGAGTCGGCTGCAGCTGGTGGGACATTCGCCTGGTTTCAATGTGGCTGTCGTAAGATGGGTGATGCCGCTCATGTTCCGGTGAACCTCGGCACACTCGCAGTTCCGGTACACTTTCTGTAAGCAGAGCAAGGAGGCAGCCAATGACACATAAAGAAAGGGAAATCAACCAGCAATAGGTTTGCTTATAGCAGCAATTCCGACGCAAAACGGCGCATTGGAAGGAAAAACTCTCCATAAGATGAATAACAGGATGGATCGCAGTAGTATTTGTGCCATTGGTACCAATTTATCACAGTTACGATGTTTAGGAAAGAAACGAAAACGATTGAATGCGAATAGAGCGATAAGTAGAGATTGGGTTTTCGGGGAAGTTCCGGAGTGAAACAAATGTCGGAGAACGGAAGATAAGGTAAAAGTGATGTGAGGGAGAGATGACCAAGTAAAGTATTCATTTTTATGCCTGTGGACCGAAACTGTCACCGATCGGAAGTTATGCAGCTGACGCCAGTCACAATGAAGCGAGAACCATGAGTTCGAACAAATTTGTATCCACTGAGCGGAACCAGAGTGATATAGTAAGTGTAATCGACTAAGGACTAAATGGATTGATGCAATCTGCGGGACAAGTGGGAGCAAACTAAAGAAGCTGCAACGCGAACTAGGTGTGTAGGTGGATAACGCCTAGCACGGAGCGACTAAGTGACGTGAATATCCGTGTTCAAGTGTAACGAAAGGCATGCATGGATGTCAGAAGATGGGATTCAAATGTGCTGTTGTCAGTCAGAAAACACCGCACTCCACAACGCGTTTGGACTCTGTTTGATCATATTGGGTAGAAATAGTCGGGTTCGAACCCGAGACCATTAGGAGGTTAGTTAGAACCTCTAACTTTAAGCAACCGGGCCAAGACGGACAACGCTTGCCACAACGGTTAATGACTGTTTGGAGGGTTATTTTGAAGTACGCGTTGTGTGATTTGACTGCGATGCGCAATGTCAACGTGGACCATGATTCGCATTGAAGTGAATCATGCCAAAATCGATCACTAAGACCGTAGATCAAACCTACGGGAATATGGTGCTGTCAGCCAAAAAACACTGCATTCATGCATACATCCGCCACGCAATTAGTTCACAGGAGATCCAGCTAAAGCTGAGTAGGGGTAGAGATCCTTCGGGGCAAGTGTGTACAATAAGTTTTGTAGGAGTAAAACTGTGACGACAATTCTGGTGACAAACACGATAAAAATGTTCAACACAAATAGGATACAGTCTTCTCAAGATATAGGGTCCTGAGAACACAACCGAGTATGCTAAGGCAACATGCGGATGTGGAATTCAGGCCCTGAGGATGGTCCAATATATGCTTCAACCAGAGGTGGAAAGTTAGCGCAGTCATCGCTTAGCAAATAACGGTGCAGAACACGCCCAGTACCATAGTTAGCCTGCGATGCCTAGATAGCTTTGAAAACCGGAACCCAGAAGGGAAATTGGGAAATAGAAGTGTAAATGAAAAGCAGGGGCAGGGAGCGAGAGAGTACACGGCACGTTGGGGCGTGGTGGCGAGACTCTGACAGGTCGTAGACCCACTGCTGTTAATGACGTGCCGTGGACTCATGCCCTAGACGCTTTCTTATGGGGACTGTTGGGTGGGAGCTGGGTTACAAACTTCTTCCAGCTAAGATCCAGAACACACAATTTAGCGTGAGTCGATACACTGACTGATGGCACAAGGTCCGTTGCCTCTAGGGTGTACATTTTATCGAAAGATTTGGCTGAGGATCCGAATCGCTCTAGTTAGGTGTGGACGCTCTGACAGTACACCAGTCCAAAGCAAAACTATGGATCCTACCAAGACTAACAATCACATGCTGCATTGACCATCGCCCAGTGACACTAGCAAAAGCGTCGCCTTACCTACTACATGCAGGGGATGGATAAGCGAAAATATACTGCCGATGACGCCTCCGTTCTTCTTCCCATCAGAATGCTCCTTTCTGAGTCCACATTGCACCTAACCCCCTATTTCCTCCAATCAAAGTCCCCACACCAGCGCTTGCCCGGCGCAATCAATTGCCTCAGCGTAAAGCGATCAACACAAATGAACGTCCCGAGCGACGTGTTGCACTGGTCCTGTTGGAACTCACAAGCTACGGGATCGATGTTGATGCACTCAACGAGAATCGGGTGGCTGACCAAAGCTAGTCGCACGAGGATGATATTGGCTGCACGTTCTACTGTGTGTGAAACGCTATTACAGCATCACGTGGACATGTGGTCGGATTTGTACCATTCGACTGCCTAAATGGCCCACTGCTGCGAGATTCGATTGGCATCAGCCTACGATTGATGACTCTGCGACTGCGACTTGGAAGAGGTATATTTGTTAGTTGTATTAGCACGTTACTTCCGTGCCGTCCAGATGACGCAAAAAACCACTTATACGTTCGGTCATCCTCCGTGATATGGTCTGTGCCGAGGACCGACCGACTACTCCTACTGGGTGATCTCAAATCGCGTGTTGGGCGTGATGCCGCAGTGTGGACAGATATAATCGAGTCGGATGGTGTTGGAACAGCCAACGCAATCGGTGACCGGCTGCACCCAATGTGCGCAACCCAGAGCTTGACGACTACGAGCAAAGATTTGCACTGGGTGCGAGTGATATAGGTACAGTGCGTCTGATGAAACCGGACCGATCCACGTAATTCAGCCATGACTCGCACTACGGTATGACGCACTTTGCGTACGAGATAAAACCCGATCATCTGTAACACGTGTCCAGCAATCCAATCAATAACTCGTGTCGGACAGTAAATGTGTGCACGCGTGCTACTTGCGTACGGCGCGCGCAAAATCGTGTGCGGACCAGGGCTTTTGACGCACCCATGCAACAGAGTCAACCTATCCCAAGTCACTTGGCTGAAAGATTGTCGAGAGAGCTGAGGCACAGTCACATTATGCAGTCGAGTGATCGTTAGCTTCTCCACGCTGGACCAAAGTAAGCTTAATTTGCAGTGAGTGCTGATGGTCATGTCCAAAAGAAGACGACACGACAGTGGTACAATCCATGCCAACTGGTGTGCCTTGCTAGGTAAAACGAAACAGATATGTAAACTTCAAGTGGCTAGGGTCGACTGTGGTAGAGCTAGGGTATCGCAATGAATGGGCGCTTATTTCTACCAAAGTGAATGACAAAACACAGTTATAGCCTTCGCTCCTGCAGCCTAAAAAGGAGCTAGCAACAAATAACTTTGGCAAAAATGGCATCACTTTCAATTAGGCCCTTCACATTGGGTTTTGATGCGTTTGTGACACAGAGTGCTCTTCTATTTCACTATACCTCAACACACTATTGGCACCATTCGACTGTGGATCAAGTTCGCATGTAATTTCTTTGTAATCGAGGATAGGTATTTTGACGAACACTGCCGCTTGCAGTTTGGGTTGGGGTGAGGGTTGCATGGTCTGCACACGATTTCGTGTGCACCAAATGCAAGTGGTATACGTGCGCGCATTTGCTGTCCGACACGAATTACTGATTGGATCGAAGGACGACCATTACAGATGCCCGGGTTTGCTCTGGTAACGCAGTGTGTCAGACAGTAGTGCGAGTCATGGCTGAAGTATGTGGATCGGCCTAGTTCCATCTCACACAATGTAGTTGGATGGATCCACGGAGAGATCGCGCTCACCCGCGCGATTATGTCATCGAACACCAGCGTGCCATGCGTGAAGTGCGTATGACACGTACTACGTGAAGCTGAGTGTGGCACTGTTAACAAGATTGGTCGTATCAAATGGTATATATATGTATATATATATATCCTACTAAAACTAAACGTTGCTCACATGCCGTGAGGAGGCGAAAATTTAATCCGTTTCCTAGCTGATGCAGAGGGAGAAGGGGAATGCGATGGCTGCCCGCATTGGTGAAGTCGACTCTATTGATTCAATCAGGGTCCTGTGGCACAACATTAAAGAACAGATTACCACTGCGGTCGAGAAAGTCATCGGGTGTGCAAAGAATATGCGACTCGATTAGTTAGGTCACAACAATGCAACCATTGGCGCATTGGTGTCAGAGAATAATGAAGTATACGGAGGACCATGGCGGTTCGGGAAAGGAGAGTCAATTTCGGAAACTTTGACGGCGATTGACTCGAGAGCTCCGTTGCATCAAGAATGAATGATGGACAGAGGAAACGGAGCAGATAGAATGCGATGAGAGTAGAGTAATAGGTTTCCTGATGCACAAAAATTTATTTTTACAATAATATAAGCATTACATTCTATCGAATCTCTCTCCACCAGGGTTCATGCACAGTTCCCCGCGCTCGAAGCATTTGGAGAAGTAGATAGACTATGCCAAATCGGGTAACCCTTCAGGAAACTCAATGAAGACCTCCACTGCAGCTTCTACAGACTCGTAGCGGATTCCACGCATCATGCGGTTGACACTTAGGAGCACAAAAATAGATACATGCAGTCACGTCTGGACTGCAGGCTGTGATCAGGCTCCGGGAGTTGTTTCCTAGCTAGGAAAGGAACGACGACATGGGATCTGTGTGCAGGGGCGTTGTCATGGTGCAGAAAAGTACCTCGTGCTCGAGTCCGTGGACGACGCCAGGCTACAGTTTGCAGCACATGTGATAGACAGTGGGTGGCATACTAGTTTCCAGGGACTGTGCGTTGTCATACGAGCGATAAAGTAGCCACATGACCGGTCTTGGCCATGAACACAGCCACCAGCTGCTGGATCACACTGCGCTCAGACCGGAATTCCTTAGACGGCGCCCCAACAATGGCCGTCCACTGAGCCGATTGTTGTTCCGACCCTGGGTCGAAACTGTACATCCAGGTCTCCTTACAACTTTGCATTTCCCAAACAGTATTGAAACGTCCCCCATCAAAAGTGACAAGCATGGTGCGGTACCAATCCACCCGAGCTCCTTCTGGTCCTTAATGAGCTAATGTGATACCCAGCGTGCGCCAAGTTTTCTGATGCACGCTGGTGTGAATTAATTCCGATGGTTGTTTACAGCTGTACCACAGTCATTTGCGCGTTCTCCTCCAGCATTGGCTTCGCAGCAGCAATGTTATCCGCGGTGTGGC